GAGGACAAAAAAATTATGCACTGGGGAGTGAGTATTATGAATGCTGTGTAGTTTTGCAAATATTTATACATATATGTACAATATGACACTTCAGAAAGATTTACTACACAAATCAAAATCAAATTCCCGGATGGAATCCAAATATTTAAGACGTTTATAATCAATTACCTAAAGCTTCAAGTAACCATAATTAAGACTCTGGTTCCCGGAATTGGTCATTAGGGTATTCCTTCTCAATTCTGAATTTTAAGGGGCATGAAAATGTCTGACTAGGCAAATATGATGAAAGAAAATTTTAAATGGAGATATTTAATCGAATATGATCATAGAGGTAATATCTCAAAATAAACAGTTATTATTAACTAATGATGCAACTTTCAACTTTACAAAAGATTTTTGTTAATGCCGTATTTTATATAATTTTCATGGAAATTTGGGAATTAAATGTAAGGATATTTAGATATGGAATGGTTTTGTCATCTACTGATGCCTGTTTCTTATTAAAATAAGATATAAATTATTATAATAATTTATAATTATAATAATTATATATATATATATATATATATATATATATATATATATATATATATATATATATATATATATATATATATATATATAATATATATTTTATATTTTTCCCCAACCCATATATATATATATATATATATATATATATATATATATATATATATATATATATATATATATATATATATATATATATATATATATATATATAGTTACCAGTTGCGTTGCTCCTGGGAGTATGGGTTCGAGTCACTTCTGGGGTGTGAGTTTTCAGTCGTCATATATATATATATATATATATATATATATATATATATATATATATATATATATATATATATATATATATATATATATATATATATATATATATATATATATGTATATATATATGTCGTACCTAGTAGCCAGAACTCACTTTTCAGCCTACAATGCAAGGCCCGATTTGCCTAATAAGCCAAGTTTTCATGAATTAATATATTTTCTCTAATTTTTTTCTTATGAAATGATAAAGCAACCCATTTCATTATGTAAGAGGTCAATTTTTTTTATTGGAGTTAAAATTAACGTAGATATATGACCGAACCTAACCAACCCTACCTAACCTAACCTAACCTATCTTTATAGGTTAGGTTCGGTTAGGTAGCCGAAAAAGTTAGGTTAGGTTAGGTTAGGTAGGTTAGGTAGTTGAAAAGCAATTAATTCATGAAAACTTGGCTTATTAGGCAAATCGGGCCTTGCATAGTAGGCTCAGAAGTGAGTTCTGGCTACTAGGTACGACATATATATATATATATATATATATATATATATATATATATATATATATATATATATATATATATATATATATATATTATAACATCATATGGGGTTGGGGGAAAAAAGCGGCGGGTGAAAAAGTAATTCTATCCTATACACTATTTATAATGATACATTGGCAATGCATTAAGACAGCATGAATGTGGTATGGACTATTTCAATATTATATATCAAGGCGTGAGACGGGGAGGGAATTAGTCCCAATTACTTTTTAAATTGTGTATTTGGTGACTACTCAGAGATATTTCTGAGATGCACATTGGCTGTCTCCAGAGTACAAATAAATATCTTAGATTATATGGATTAGTAGTCTAGTTCTGGTAACAGATTATATGGATTAGTAGTCTAGTTCTGATAACAGATTATATGGATTAGTAGTCTAGTTCTGATAACAGATTATATGGATTAGTAGTCTAGTTCTGGTAACAGATTATATGGATTAGTAGTCTAGTTCTGATAACAGATTATATGGATTAGTAGTCTAGTTCTGATAACAGATTATATGGATTAGTAGTCTAGTTCTGGTAACAGATTATATGGATTAGTAGTCTAGTTCTGATAACAGATTATATGGATTAGTAGTCTAGTTCTGATAACAGATTATATGGATTAGTAGTCTAGTTCTGATAACAGATTATATGGATTAGTAGTCTAGTTCTGATAACAGATTATATGGATTAGTAGTCTAGTTCTGATAACAGATTATATGGATTAGTAGTCTAGTTCTGATAACAGATTATATGGATTAGTAGTCTAGTTCTGATAACAGATTATATGGATTAGTAGTCTAGTTCTGATAACAAATATTTTTACCCATAGTAGTCTAATTCTGACAAGAAATATTGACCCAAATAGTCTAATTCTGACCGCAAATTATGACGCCTAATCATATCCATTTATTGTCTACATTTAAAGTTTTTTTTAAATAAATTAACAAATTAACATATTTTGTATATATGAATCCAAATATATAATTCTGGTGAAACCGAAGTTACATAATATTGAAAAACATAATAAGAATACTTAGATGAATTTGAGATGATCTCTGGTTATAAATATTAATATATTTTGTTCCCAAATTTTAAGTAATAAACAGAATATTAAGATTAATAATAAAGGTGATGCTTAGTATAATTTTATTTGTTATAAATTATAAAATAAATCCAGTTGAAATTAGTTTGTTTTATTTTTGGGATTATGACGTATCAATATAGAACTGTGACAAAATATTTAATATATCGTTTTTATAACTTTTGATATAATAAGAATCAGGGATCATTGGTATTTCTGTTTTAGAGAACAGTCAAGCCTCCTCTTTGTCAATTTGGTCGATTCCTTTTAGAATATTGTAAGTGGTGATCATATCACCTCTTTTTCTTCTATCTTCTAGTTTTGACATGTTTAACGCCTCTAGTCGCTCCTCGTAACTCTTTTCTTTCAGTTCCGGAAGCCATTTTGTAGCATGCCGCTGCACCTTTTCCAGTTTCTTTATGTGCCTCTTCACATTTGGGCACCATACAACTGCTGCATATTCTAATTTTCCAACAATCATGAACAGTTTCTTTAGTATTTCACCATCCATATAATTAAAAGAAGGTGTGAAGTTGGAAAGCGACACATCCGCTCCTCTCACAATGTTGTTTATGCGTTCCTCCGGCGACAGCTTACTATCCTCAACCACCTCTAGGTCTCGTTCTTTACAGGAGTTCTGTAACACCTTTTCACATAATTTGTATGTTGTTTATGGTCTATTTTCTCAGATTCCACATTCCGTAAGACGGCATTTATTCACATTGAATTCCATTTGCCACTTTACTCTCCAAGCATTTATTTTATCTAGATCGATTTGAAGGGCATTACAATCGTCTACGTCTCCTATCTTCCCCAGTATCTTAGCATCATCCGCAAACATGTTCATATAATTCTGTATTCATTCCGGTAGATCGTTTACATAGACGATGGACATTACCGGTGCAAGAACTGAGCCCCGTGCTACTCTGCCAGTAACACAGGGTTCAGTATGTCATCTGTCTGTCAGTTAGAAAGTTTTTCATCCATGTCAGAAGTCTCCCTGTCACCCCCCTCCAACATGTTCCAGTTTCAAGAACAGCCTCTTGTGTGGGACTCTGTCAAAAGCCCTTTTCATGTCCATATAGACACGGGACTCTGTCAAAAGCCCTTTTCATGTCCATATAGACACAGTCAACCCAACCATCTCTTCCTGTAGTATCTCTGTGGCTCTATCATAAAAACTAAGTGGATTTCTTACACAGGATCTTCCTGTTCGAAAACCACACTGTTTGTCCGTCATTATGTCATTACTCTCTAGGTGTTCAACCCATTTGTCTTAAACTATTGTTTTTAGTCTTTTGATTACCACGATTGTTAATGATCAGGGTCAATAATTTAGAGGGTCCTCTCGACTACCATTTTTATAGATTGGTACTGTTTGCCTTTTGCCATATATCTGCTAAGATTCCTGTGCACGAGGATGACTGGAATATTAATTGGAGTGGAATGCTCAGCTCAGTTGCACATTCTCGCAGCACCCAAGGTGAAACTCCATCAGGGCCAATTGCTTTATTTCTTCCTTGTCCCTTGAGTAATTTGTCCACTTCGTCTTGAGATACCTTTATGTATTTTATGGTGTGCTCTGGAATGGGTATTGGGTCCGGTTCTATAAAATCCTCATTTTGTACAAACACACTTTGGAACTATTCATTTAGCGTTTCACACATTTCTTTTTCATTCTCGGTAGTCCTGTTCCCCGTTCTCAATCTCTGGATTTGATCCTTTACATGCAGCTGCTTTTAATGAATTTATAGAAAAGGCCTGGCTCTGAACTACTCCACACGGGCCGTGACGAGGGTTCGAACCTGCGTCCGAGAGCATCCCAGACGCTGCCTTAATCGACTGAGCTACGACATGGTATAAGGGCCTGGATCCGTTTTACATTTGTCTGTTATACCTTTCTCAAGGTTCCTTTCAGCCTCTCTCCTCACTGTTGTGTGTGTGTGTGTGTGTGTGTGTGTGTGTGTGTGTGTGTGTGTGTGTGTGTGTGTGTGTGTGTGTGTGTGTGTGTGTAATTACCTAAGTGTAGTTACAGGATGAGAGCTACGCTCGTGGTATCCCGTCTTCCCAGCACCTGTGTGTTGTGGAAGAGCAGATGATTTTTTGATGAAAAGGCAGGATATTACTCCCAGTAATATTACCAGGATATTACTGGGAAGATAACCTAACATATAGTGGAGAGGACTAGAATACGCACTGTATATGTAAACGGGGGGAGGGGGCACGATATGTACTGGGAAAGGTATATAGTGCATGTTCAAGAGAGCGGGGGTATGTACTGGCATCGAGGCAGTATATGTACTAGAAGGTAGGATAAGGCACTGGAGATGTCGCAGGATATGTACTAGAAAAGGTGTCATGATATGTACAAGAGAGCGTTGTATATGTGTTAGGGACGGGACAGAACGTACATTGGAGGGAAGGGTATGTACTGGAAAAGGGACAGAATGTACACTAGACGGCAGGGTATGTACTGGAAAAGGGACAGAATGTACACTAGACGGCAGGGTATGTACTGGAAAAGGGACAGAATGTACACTTGACGACAGGATATGTACTAGAATGCAGTATATCTAACTGGGGGGAGGTAGAGTATAGTAGAAGGGTAGAATACGTGGAGGAAGAGTGGCTGGTGTACCCCGGGAGAGTGGCTGATGTACCCTGGGAGAGTGGCTGATGTACCCCGGGAGAGTGGCTGATGTACCCTGGGAGAGTGGCTGATGTACCCCGGGAGAGTGGCTGATGTACCCTGGGAGAGTGGCTGATGTACCCTGGGAGAGTGGCTGATGTACCCCGGGAGAGTGGCTGATGTACCCCGGGAGAGTGGCTGATGTACCCCGGGAGAGTGGCTGATGTACCCCGGGAGAGTGGCTGATGTACCCCGGGAGAGTGGCTGATGTACCCTGGGAGAGTGGCTGATGTACCCCGGGAGAGTGGCTGATGTACCCCGGGAGAGTGGCTGATGTACCCTGGGAGAGTGGCTGATGTGCCCCGGGAGAGTGGCTGATGTACCCTGGGAGAGTGGCTGGTGTACCCCGGGAGAGTGGCTGGTGTACCCGGGAGAGTGGCTGATGTACCCCGGGAGAGTGGCTGATGTACCCCGGGAGAGTGGCTGATGTACCCTGGGAGAGTGGCTGGTGTACCCGGGAGAGTGGCTGATGTACCCTGGGAGAGTGGCTGATGTACCCCGGGAGAGTGGCTGATGTACCCCGGGAGAGTGGCTGGTGTACCCCGGGAGAGTGGCTGATGTACCCTGGGAGAGTGGCTGATGTACCCCGGGAGAGTGGCTGATGTACCCTGGGAGAGTGGCTGATGTACCCCGGGAGAGTGGCTGATGTACCCTGGGAGAGTGGCTGGTGTACCCCGGGAGAGTGGCTGATGTACCCTGGGAGAGTGGCTGGTGTACCCCGGGAGAGTGGCTGATGTACCCCGGGAGAGTGGCTGATGTACCCTGGGAGAGTGGCTGGTGTACCCCGGGAGAGTGGCTGATGTACCCCGGGAGAGTGGCTGATGTACCCTGGGAGAGTGGCTGGTGTACCCCGGGAGAGTGGCTGATGTACCCCGGGAGAGTGGCTGATGTACCCTGGGAGAGTGGCTGATGTACCCCGGGAGAGGGGTACAGAGCTGCGAGGTACACACACATGGGGAGCGAGGCGTGTAGAGTAAGAGCAAGGGAGAGTGACGGGTGGAGATTGGAATGCGAGGAGGGAGAGAGAGAGAGAGAGAGAGAGAGAGAGAGAGAGAGAGAGAGAGAGAGAGAGAGAGAGAGAGAGAGAGAGAGAGAGAGAGAGAGAGAGAGAGAGAGAGAGAGAGAGCAGCATCCATGGCGTCCAGACTATACACACACTGTAGCAACACTGTAGCCTCTACTGCACTTTTGAAACACTATACAACTGCACTGTAGCAGGTGTTGCCTCTAGTTCATTATTGCAACACTTTAGCCTGTAATGTTTAGCAGATTGTAACACCATGCCTGACAGGTCTACATTGTAACACCATACCTAACGGGTCTACATTGTAACACCATACCTAACGGGTCTACATTGTAACACCATGCCTGACAGGTCTACATTGTAACACCATGCCTGACAGGTCTACATTGTAACACCATGCCTGACAGGTCTACATTGTAACACCATGCCTGACAGGTCTACATTGTAACACCATGCCTGACAGGTCTACATTGTAACACCATACCTAACAGGTCTACATTGTAACACCATGCCTGACAGGTCTACATTGTAACACCATACCTAACAGGTCTACATTGTAACACCATGCCTGACAGGTCTACATTGTAACACCATACCCAACAGGCCTACATTGTAACACCATACCCAACAGGCCTACATTGTAACACCATACCCAACAGGCCTACATTGTAACACCACACCCAACAGGCCTACATTGTAACACCATACCCAACAGGCCTACATTGTAACACCATACCCAACAGGCCTACATTGTAACACCATACCCAACAGGCCTCTGTTACAACACCACAACCTTCAGATAATCATACAAATTCCATTTACAACACATTTACCAAGCCACCACTACCTGGAGGATACCTGGAGAGTGGGTTCTGGGAGTTCTTGTACTTCCCCCAAGCTCTGGGGGCCAGGCTTGACTTGTGGTAACTTGGTCCAACAGGCTGTTTGTTGCTTGGAGCGCCCCGCAGCAGGTTCACACATCCACTACAACCTGATTTATCCAGCGCTTCTTGCAGGAACTTGTGTGGTTCATGCTTGGCGACTTCTATTTTTGGTCTGGCAATATTTCTTATGCTTGTTGGGATGATATTACATAGCCGTGGACCTTTGATGGCCATGCGGTGTTCATCGAGTGTGCCTCTGGCTCCTCTACTCTTCTTTGGTTTTATTCTGTATTTCCTTCCATAGTACTCACCTAATTGTGCTTGCGGAGGTTGAGCTCTGGCTCTTTGGTCCCGCCTCTCAACTGTCAATCAACTGGTGTACAGGTTCCTGAGCCTATTGGGCTCTTATCATATCTACACTTGAAACTGTGTATGGAGTCAGCCTCCACCACATCACTGCCTAATGCATTCCATTTGTCATCTGGCATAGTGTTCGTTCAAGTGTGTTTTTTACTTTGTAAATTTGGATCCTGGACTTCCATTATCTTTTTTGTAAATTTGGATCCTGGACTTCCATTATCTTTTTTGTAAATTTGGATCCTGGACTTCCATTATCTTTTTTGTAAATTTGGATCCTGGACTTCCATTATCTTTTTTGTAAATTTGGATCCTGGACTTCCATTATCTTTTTTGTAAATTTGGATCCTGGACTTCCATTATCTTTTTTGTAAATTTGGATCCTGGACTTCCATTATCTTTTTTGTAAATTTGGATCCTGGACTTCCATTATCTTTTTTGTAAATTTGGATCCTGGACTTCCATTATCTTTTTTGTAAATTTGGATCCTGGACTTCCATTATCTTTTTTGTAAATTTGGATCCTGGACTTCCATTATCTTTTTTGTAAATTTGGATCCTGGACTTCCATTATCTTTTTTGTAAATTTGGATCCTGGACTTCCAGTATCTTCTATGTATACATTATGTGATTCATCTCTCGTCTACTTTCTAGAGAGTACATTTTTAGAGCTTGGAGACGATCCCCCAAAATTTTGGTGCGTTATCTTGTCTATGGCTGCTGTGTGTGTTCTGTGTTTTCCCTCTATATCAGCAGTCTCTCCTGCTCTGAAGAGAGAAGTGAGTACCGAGCAGTACTCAAGGCGTGACAGCATCAGGGATTTGAATAGTAGGAGCATTGTGGTGGCTTCCACATCCTTGGATTTCAAGGATGTGGAAGCCACATCCATTTCAAGGATTTCATGATTCGTTCTATATCATATTTCTGGCTGAGGCTATATTTGCTTGGTTCACTAAACGTTAGGTCGTCGGACATCATTATTCTCAGACCTTTTACATGTTTTCTCATCCATGAATAAATCTGATTGTATCTTGTACCCAATATTTCGTTTAAATTCTTCATTTTTTTTTTGCCATACCTAAGTATACGTTGAATTTATCACTGTTTAATATCATGCCATTTTAACTTGACCAGTCGAAGGCTACTGACAGAGGCTTGTTTTTTTCAGTGTCTTCTACAGCAGTAATTTTTGGCTGATTTTTGTATCGTCTGAAAAGGATGACAGGAAGCTGTGACCTGTATTTTTTTTGTCTATATTTGATATGAGGATGAGAAAAATCAATGGTGTAAGGAATGTTCTTGGTCTTGATTATATTTGATTTACCGTTACTCTTTGCCTTCTGTTTGAAAGGAAATTGCATATTATTCGCCCTACATTACCTGTTATTCCAAATGATCTCATTTTATAAGTTACCAGTCACTCCATGGTCACAGTGATCAAATGCCATTGCAAAATGTGTGTTTTTTTTTTAATTTTGCCCCGAGGGGCGAGTTTATTGGGCAGCGTCACTCATCTTGTGAGTGGACACACCGCCATAGTAGCATGTACAACACTCCCCAATAAGAAGAAAACCCGCTGGGTTGTTCATCCTGTCACTTGTACCCAGACACAGCTGGGACTTGCTTAACTGTCTCAAGTGAACAGCTCCTCAAACAAGAAGATTAACATCTATCAACCCTTAAAAGCTTACGTTATCTTGCTGGTGCAAAATGGGGGGAATCTTTTAAGAACAGTATCAATATTTGACAAATAGTGTTGTATGTATATACCACATCTGCATTTTGTTTTTCTTCTAATATTTCGGTGAATTTGTGATGTTAGTGTGACTGGTCCATATTTTATTGCCACTGCTTTACTACCTCCCTTGTGTAATGGAGGTATACTTACTGATTTAAAGTGATTTTTGGTATCTCCACTGAATCCAAGCTTTTTTCTCGAAGCTGCACTGAGCGCTCATGCAACTGTCACTCCACATTTCTTTATAAATATGGAATTCCTGGATTCTATTGTGCTTGTGTTAATATCTGTTATATTGTCAGGGGTTTGGATATCGTTCATAAAGAAGCTGTTTGGATCTTCAAAGTTATTTAATGTTATTCTAAACATAGCAGCCTCATACTGTTCTTTTAGGATTTCTCTCATTTTTTTGTCGTTCTCTGTGTATGAACCTTCACTAGTAAGTAAGTGTGGGTCCAATATTAATGGAGATTTTTTATCCTGATTTCGCAAATGTGAAAAAAAAAATTCTATATCTATTGTATAGCTTTCAGTTCCAAATTAACTTCTTGTGTCTGGTATTATCGCTTCCGCTTCTGCTCTATTTCTTTAATCTCCGTGTTTAAACTATCTTTTCCTTGTTGAAATAGTCGTGTCTGCTTAAGCATTTTCGTTATTATTTTCCTCCTTTTTTAGTGTCGTCTGCGTTCTCTAAGATGGTCCTCTTTTTTTTTGAACATCTGCAAAGGAACATATTTCAGGCTGGGTACATACGCTTGTGTTATGCGTCACAAGCTTTTTGTTTCTATAAAAAGGCGTCACAAACCTTTTGTTTCTATAAAAATGGCGTCACAAGCCTTTTGTTTCTATAAAAATGGCGTCACAAGCTATTTTTATAGAAACAAAGAATGTTTTATAGAAACATGTTTCTATAAAACAGCCTTAACTCACAAGCAACCATTTTTTTACAAGTCACCAGTCCTTCGTTACTACAAAACAGTCGTGGGGTGGAGGGGGGTGCCGGGCAATAGAATCAAACTCTCATCAGGCCTAAGGCTGCCGTAAAGAGCACAAAACCCACCCACCAGGCCTACACAACAGCCCCATAGCCACGTTGGAACCATAAAAATACCATTTCAATAAAACCCTCACAGCCTTGTTTACAAAACTACAACCAACAAACATATTTTAGAACATGAGAGGCCTCATTCCGCAGAGTCAACATCACAGGCAGCAAGATTCTGTTATTATACAAGCTATCAAGCCACAAAAGCTCTTAATTACTGTTAATTTTTTCATGCTGTTATGGTCACATAATCACACACACACACACATAAAGTATTCACAAAAAATATATATATATATATATATTGTGTGTGTGTGCGTAAATCACGAAAATTAACACGTTATGAAAAATGTGGCTGTATCGGACCACAGAGGAAGAACTGAAACAGGAATTTCCTTAATACTTTCGAATATTAATACATCATCAGAGGGAATGATTTACAAGTCAATAGGTTTGGACATATATAGGCAGGAGAGGTGAAGTGAGGTATAATGACAAATATATGAACGGGATTAGGTGGATATACAATAAGAGCTGCATCATATAAGCCAATAGGCCCTTATTAGTACCCATGTATGGGCCAATAGGCCCATACATGGATAATAATAGCATAAAATAGTAGATATTAACAATGAATTAGTGAGACAAATGTGTATCAATGATCCTACTCAAATCGCCCTTTAACTGATCAATCACAAAGTATCAAAATTATACAAACTACTGCTAATGTTCAAATTACATGATTTTGTAATCTGTATTAAAGCAGGTTCAATTATATTCCTATTGAAAGTGTTTTTAAAATTCGTTATTGAAGA